AGTTGGTGAAATGCCCTTCAAATACTTAGGAGTGCCTGTAGGTGGAAACCAAAAGGGTTTAAGAATGTGGCAGCCTTTAATTGACTCAATAAAGAAGAAATTGTCAGGTTGGAAAAATCGGTGGTTGTCGTTCGGTGGCAGGATCACACTTCTCAACTCTATGCTCACGTCACTCCCTGTTTTTCTCCTATCAGTCTACCTCGCTCCAAAAGGTATTGTGAAAACTATTGATAGAATTAGAAGTAATTTTTTATGGGGAGGGAGGGGGGAGACTAGGAAAATACACTGGGTAAATTAGAAACTAGTGTGTAGAAGCAAACAAGAAGGAGGTCCAAGAGTGAAGGACATTAGGCTTTTTAACTTGGCGCTCTTAGGTAAATGGTGGGGTAAACTAGCAAAGGGAAAGGAGAACTTATGGTTTAGGCTAATAAAGAAAAATATGGGTCTAGAAAAGATAATTGGTGTGGGTGGGTGAGGGAAGGTAAAGGTAGTGGGTCTGGATGGTGGAGGGATATATGTAGGTTGGATGTTTTGGAAGATAATAGAAGAGGGTGGTTATTGCATGGCTATGAGCTTAGGGTTGGCAAAGGAAATAGTGTTAGCTTTTGGAAGGATAGTTGGAGCAATGTAGGAGTGCTTGCTAATGCTTTCCCAAGATTATACATGCTATCTGCACGAAAGGAAAGCTCTATACAGGAAATGGGTAGCTGGAAAGGTGAAACATGGTCGTGGAACTTTGAATGGAGGAGAAGCTTGTTTTCTTGGGAGACCGAATCACTACAGGATTTAAAGCAATGGATCGATATGATTGAATTCCCAAAAGACAAGGAAGATACTTGGATTTGGAAGGTAGAGAGCAAGGGATTATACACAACGAAATCAGGATACAGCAAACTTGTCCATCAACAACCTTCATCACAAGAATCATTATTTATAAGGTTATGGAACAGTCACATTCCTAACAAAGTTTGTGGGTTTGCGTGGTTATTATTGCATGACAGGATTCCATCAAAGCTCAATCTGTTCAAAAGAGGAATAGTCACAGAAATAGAAGCAACTACATGCGGGTTATGCAACAAATGTGTGGAGGATGGTGACCACCTTTTCCTCCATTGTATAATTGCTTTAGCAATTTGGATAAAATGCATTCAATGGTGGGGTCTAAGCACTGTACTTGCTGGAACATGTAGGGATTCTATTATGCAGCATGAAGACATGGTATCCAAAGCAAATAATTGATTGGGCTGGGCTGCTGTTTGGTACTCTTTGGTATGGACAACTTGGAATACCAGGAATGAGGTAGTATTTAAAGGGGGCCATGCGAATGTGGATCGGATGTTTGATCAAATACAAGTGAGGTCTTTTTGTGGATAAAAAATACAGGGAAAGGAGGAAGTTTTACTTTTTCGGATTGGATTCTAAATGCCAACGGTTGTAAAATCTCTTAAGGGGCCATACAATATGCCATCAATTGGCAAGGCAACATTTGAGTCAGAGTATGCTTTTTTGATATAAATGGGTTTGAGTATCCTTTATACTCAAAAATATAATCTTTTTTGTCTTTAAAAAAAAATCTTTAATTTTAATTTTAAATTAAGATTTTTTAATTTATAGATATTAATTTAAACAAACTCTTATTGTATGCAGTGAGGTTATTGTATATAGTACTTTCTCATTTTTATAAATATTATTTGCAGGTTTCAGCATTAACTGGCTATTACTCAAAACACGAAGGCCCATTTGAAATATTTAGGCTTTGCTTTTCTGAACGACGTTGTCTGACGATAGTTGAGGTCATTCTTCTAAATTATGTTAAGCCACTTAAACAACGTCGTACGTCATCCTAGCTACCCGGCACCGTCCATCCTCCGTCGTCCGTTGTATACACTCTTAAGCAGTGCAGAGCAAGACTATTTCCAGCTCGTCTCTGTCGTCTTAATTAGGTTCTAATTCTTCTTCATTTTTCCTTTCAATTTGTTTCTCTGCTTTTCTCCTCCTATTTGTTTGATTTCATAGGCTTTTCTACTTTGAGACTCCGTTAATTAGTCTCTCAAATTGATACAACTTTTCATAAAAAGACGAATAAATAGAATAATTATTATTTTATTAAAAAGTATAGTTTTATCCAAAAAAAAAAAAGTGACTCTTGAGCTTTTTTAATACCTTTAACAGCCACATTTATTGTATCACTTTTTTCTAGCATAGAATTACAGTTTTTGAGACAAAAATTAATCAAAAACCACAACTCCCAGTTAAAAAAAGCACTGCAATCCAATCTAGCCTATATAACATAAAATCTTTATTATTTTTATTTTTTGTTATAGGTAAAATTTGATGAGAATACATTAATAGGTAAAAACACTGCAAAAGGGGTGATAAAACCTCTTTTTGAGAGAAAAAACCTCAAATAAGGAAAAATAATTTTACTTTTGTTCATCTTCTTTAGTCACCGAGAGGGATAGATGTAGTAATTAAAGAGAAAGGACTTAGAAAAGAGAGAAGGCATGAGGACATTAGAGGGAGAGAAGGAGGGGAGGCCAAATGGAACACTTATTAAACTTTTCTCTTTTGTTATTTTTATTTTATAATTTATATTGGATAGTAATATAAGGATAATTTTTTATATAATTTTTATATATTATTAAATAAATATATATATTTAGTATTATAAATTTTAAATAAATAAAAAATTAATAATTTAAATGATATGTAAAATTATATTAAAAAATAATATAAAAAATTGTTCTTAAATCATTTTTTAATTTATGTTACGTTTGTAGAAATAAAATTTTGCCAACTCTTACTAAAATTGACCCACAAACTTGATATGTTATTTTTTTTTCTTTTTCTTTAGACAATTTAATTTTAGCCGCCCACGTCATCAAGGCAGTTTTTAATTTTAAGTTTTAAACACATCAACATTACGTTGAAAATCTCCATTCGGCAGGTCAATATTGCGATCCACTAAATCTTTAAATGAAAAATTAACAAAATTTATATTTTTAATTAAAAAATTAAAAAATAATTGCTTAATTTAAAAATAAAAATATTTGATATCTTTGAATAAAAAAACACCAAAATTTATAACCTTATGTAGCTTCACTCAAAAACCAAACAAATAAAATCCAAGCTAGCCGCACACGGACTTGTATCTGCTAGCGTTAGGGGTTGGTTATTTTTTCTACGGTACTGTTGGAACTTTCGCGGCCGCTGCCAAATGCTTCCTTTTCTTTTTCTTTGAAATTTATTCTCTCTTTCTTGAATCCAAGGTAATAATCCCAACAATTTATTGTGCTAATGAACACCATTTAGTTTTATACCGGAAATTTAGAAAAAAATAATTCAGATTGGTTAGGACAAAAAAGTGATGCGTAATTTGATCTGCACACCATAAGAGTGGCCTCCCTAAATGTAGCAGACCCTTGTGCTTCTCCTAATTTGATGGTACTTGTTTTATTCTATTCATGAAAACTTCATATCCACTCAGAATGATACATTCTTTTCTTGAAAAGCATTTTAGTGAAAGCATGAGTTGTGTGCTCCCTTCAACACAACATCTTCTCTTATCTCTTTCTTATGGATTAAGAATTTTTTAATGAATTTTTCTAATATTTGTTCTTTAGGCACATGTTAAGAATATATTTATTTTACTTTTTTTTTTGTAACAAATATAAAAATAATTTTTAATTTTATTAACCGTGAAATTAAAATCATTTATGTGACAATGACATTGAAAATAAAATTTATTTTTGTAATATTTTATATAAATTAATAAATAAAATGTAAAATAAATATATTCTTAACTTATCCTATTATGATAAATTTGAAAGACCCCTTTCAAATAATGTTTTTCTACCTATATTATCCCTAAGAAAGAGATAAGGAAGAAAAGATTTTGAACATACGGTAGAGAATTAAATTTAAGAAAATAATTTAGAAACAACATTTTCACATCACTTTTAATATAACTTTGTATATCATTTAAATAATTAATTTTTTTATTCATTTAAAATTTATAATATTAAGTGTATTAATTCATTTAATGATATGTAAAAGTTGTATATAAAAAAATTTTATAAAAAAGTTGTACAAAAAAATTGTCTATATATCATTGTCCTTAAATTTAAACATTAATAATAGGTTTGAAATGGGAAAAATATATGGCCACCTTGCAATTGTAAAAAGAACGAATTAGAGTAAATTTTTAGGCTTACTTTGAAAGTGCTGCATTGTTACAATGCAACTATATATTTTTTGATATTTTATTATCTAAAAAATATATAAAATATATTTAATATGTTTAATGTTAGAATAGATTTGAGTAGTTTAAAATATGTTTTTATTTAATTTCACATGACTTCGCTGTTTTTGTGAAAAAGAACTCAATTTAAGCAACAAAAAAATTAAGGATTGAATTTCAAAAATTTTCAAAGTTAGGAGACAAAATTGCAGGAAGAAAAATTGAAATTAAAGTCTAAATTTAAAAATTATAAAGTATGAAGATTAAAATATCAATTTAAAAAAAATTAGGAACAGAACACCTAAAATGAAATTTGGCACGAATCAGAGTAACAGAGTTAGCGGAATTTTAAGGGAAAAGACTGACACCAAATGGAAGAGATGAGGGACCAAAATGGTTTCAAAAATAACTTAGGGACCATTTTTGTATCAACTGACAAAGCTCCGAGGCCAAAATAGTGCTTAAACCCCAAAAAAGGGCAAAACGGGAGGGTTGCCTTTCTCTGGTCCTCACGCAGGCATTCCCTCCTTATCCTCTTTATTTATCACAATCCCCATTGCCAGTTATCAGACACTTCTCTCTTCATCTTTCTTCCTCTTCACCAAATATCTCAAGCTTTTAACTACCATAAGTAACAGAAACGAAAGCATAGTACCCGTTTCTCTGCTTACAATCTGTTGGTATGTGGGTGTAACAGAGCTCATTGGCAACAAGCAAAAGTAAAGGGTTGTGAGAAGGGAGGATGTCTTGTCTGTTGCCGCAGTTCCACCCGGACACCTTCTCTATCCAATTCAGAACTCATCATCATCACCATTCCGCCGCCCACACTAACCTCTGTAAGTCTCTTCACTCTTCTCAGGCATTAAGTTAATATGCATTTGTTTTTTATAGAATTTGGGGTAGATTTCTTTTGAATCTATTGAGAACTTCAATGGGTACTTTGTGGGTTTTTGGAGCACATTGAAAAGGGGTCGGCTTTTTTTAGTAGATTCTCAAGTGGGCGCATTTGTATGGGTACTAATTTTGAATTTTGTGTGCAATGCACTGATAGAAAACTTAGAATTCAAATGGGTTGTCTTCTTTTTCTTGCAATACCTTAATGACATTACCTCATAGACACAGTTTATTGTATCTCAACCAGAATTTTGATGGGGGATTTTTTATGTTTGTACTAAATTATTACATTACTCAGGTATCTATATTGTCGATCAGAATTTAGATGGATATGCAGAATCTGTTTATTTTGTTGTTTCTTTTAAGCATGGTTAATGGGTAGATTAAATTTTATTCTGGTAAAAATTCCTTTATTATCTTTAGTTACATCAGAACTGTGATGAATATTTGGGAGAATTGTCTCTTTCGAAAGTCATTCTCTTATTCAGAACTGGATTCAGTTTAGCATGTCTATTGTATTTTGAGAGCAATTTTGGTTGTGCCAGCACTTCTACCGTGTTTTTCTCAGTAGTTTTCAGTTAGCATTTAGTAAATTTCTTTGACTTATGCCTACAAAAGGATGAACTCTCTTCTTAAATCTTTGGAGAATTGGTTGAAAAATTATTTGCTCTCTCTAGTTTTGCTTTCACATTTTTACTCTTGAGTCACTAGTGGGTGCTTGACTGGTTAAATGCTTTTTGTCCTAATTAACACTGGACTTGTCCTCATAATTTTTTTTGGGGTAATTGGATATTTGTTATATATTTTTGAACTATCACAGAAGAAAGGCAACATATTGATTTTCATCTTGGATGTCTTTTTGCAAGTTAAGTTGTTGTCAAAATGGTTTTACTAGTTGATAATGTTGTCTAAGCATCTCTTTTCTGCTGCTACTTTATAATTATTCTGCCTAACTCCAAATTATACCATATAATCTGTTTTATTCATCTTAATCAGATGTTTACATATTGCCATGGCAGGTAGATTCATTTATGTTCACTCTTTTGAGCTTTTTCGTTTCTATCATAGTTTTTGAGTTGGAATCTTACTTTGCCTGCTTTCTTAGGACCTTTAAGGTTTTGACAGAAGTACTTAAGGAAGTATAGAAAATAGTTGCATGTGGATTGGGAGGGTCGGGATTTCTAGTTTATCCAAAGTGTCAATGCAAAAGCTTCAATGTCCTGTGATGATTATATCATATATGCTGTTGCAACTTCCTTGTAACTAAATTGTTTTTCTTGGTTGAAATCTACAGCAAAATATAGAGAACATCTCTGCTTCAGGACACGAAGTATTTTATCTACTGCATCGTCATCAAGGTCATCAACTGCAGTTATTGATGTTGAGAAGCTAAGATTACCATCTTTAGAGGCACATTCAAATTCAGTCACTGCTGATAGACCATGGACATATATAGGGGGAACTGGTCCTCCCACGGAGGTCAATTTGTTTCCTGTCCTTTTTTTCTGTTCTGTATTCTATAGAAAAAAGGTTTAACAGTGGGAGTAAAACTGCAGAGTGTTTGCTATTTGCTATTGCACTTTTGAAATTGGCATTTATTTTACAATGAAGTCACCCAGCCCATGGAACAGCTTAATGGTTTGAAGATGAGGTTTCCAAGTTAGAGTTCTTAGGTTCAAACCTCAAGATGGGTAAGGAAGGCTTTGGGAAGCAGACGGGGGTTGGGGATCTCATGCTTTATATAGCTCACACTAAGATCAGGCAAAAAGGAAAAAATGAAAAAATAGAGTGTTTTTCTTTCAAGAGCTTGCCACCTAATTACTATCCCCAGTTATGTTAATTTTCTGTTGAGCGTTAATTTCATCTTAGAAGAAAAGCATACAAAATGAATATAGTTCATTTCTGTGTGATAGGTTTTTGTTCTGACCAGGTTTTGGGTATTTGGTCCATTACGTGCTATTTTTCTCACTATTTATTAAAGTTGTGCTAATTTCCATAATATCTTGGTGACAAGCAGCTTATAACTTGTTTTTATTTACTGTCAACCAAACAGTTGTTGGGGGCGGAGGCCATGTTATATATATAGGCATGCTCGTTGAATTTACTGGTTTTTATAAGCTTATTTTTGTTGGAAGTTTAGAGCTGCACTGTACAAGTGAGGCCTGTAACAAGCAATATCTTATGTCAGATTGAGTGATTAATGTTTTGATTGACAAACTAATATCTCACCACAAATTTCAGTGGTGGTTTCAATTTTGTTGTCTTTGGTATCTGTGCATGTAAAATTACAAACTCTACTCTCTTTATATATGCAATTGGCTTACAATGGGATTGTCTTTGATATATATGCAGGCAAGCTTAGCAACCTTAGCCACTGAAAAGCTTCTAACAAGTGATGAGGCTGTAATTGCTGCAGCTTCAGCTGAAGCAGTTGCTCTTGCAAGAGCTGCCGCTAAGGTCGCAAAGGATGCTGCCATGATGGTTAATAACTGTAGCTCTGCAAAAACAGAAATTAAACCTGCAATCTCATCTAGTGCTGATACTTTCCCATCCAAGTGGTCTCTATTTACAGAAGCAGAACGGGCTGGTATAGTTGGAGATTCACCTACCACTGAAAATGTGGTGGAAGGAGACAATTCTGTGGAGGATCCTTCAAAAGAATCTGATTATCAGGACCCCACAAATGAAGAACTTAAGCTTCTTGAAGAGCAGCTTTCCAGGAGTATAGCTGTAAGGTCAAGACGCCAAGCTGAAAGAAAAGCCAGAAGAGCAAGAGCAGCAGAAAAGGCATCTGCCAATATTGTCTCTGTAAAGTCTGGTCCATCCAGCAGGAGAAAGCGTTCTTCTTTACAAGAAGTAGACTACTCTGATCCATTGCGTTTCTTGAGAGGAACTACCAGCACATCCAGGCTTCTTACTGCTACTGAAGAACTGGAATTGTCAGAAGGAATACAGGTATGATACTGCAGTATTCATACTCCATTAGTTGAGATTCCTACATTCCCAGAAATAACTTGTTACAGCTTAGGCTTGACCTAGATGCCTGGTCATTGTTGCCTTCCTTTAAGAGCTGCTCCTTGGTCTACCATGTATGGTTGTTTACTAACTTGTTAAATGCCAATGTAGTCTCCAAATTTTGCATTTTGAACACTTTTGGTCCCTGAACTATTTTCAGCACTTTTTGGGTCCCTCAAATCTACAAATTGTACTTTTTTCGTCCTTTCATCTGTTAAGTGATGTTGTGGCCAGTTGAAACTGCAGAGTTGAGGGCCCAAAAAAGTGTTGAAAATAATTTAGGGACCAAAAAGTGTTTAAAATGTAAAGTTCAGGGTCTAAAATAGAATTTAACCTTTTATCTAGCATATAAATGTTGAATCGGCATAAATGTCCTCACCAAGTTTCTGAAAATAGAAGTTTTCTGATCTGTGCGTGTAATATTTGGGCAGCATTGTCAATGACTGACCATATTGATAATCAGGCTTAAATGGTTTAAAAAATATTTTTCTTTCATTTAGATGCATTTTTTCATTCTTTGTTTTAAAGTTTCTGATTTCTCCTTATCACTATGCAATTCAGGACCTTCTGAAACTGGAAAATCTCCATGAGGAGCTTGCAGAGGGATGTGGTAGTGAGCCAACCTTTGCACAATGGGCTGCTGCTGCTGGAGTTGACCAGAAAACCTTAAGGAAACGATTGAACCATGGTGTTCTTTGCAAAGACAAAATGATTAAGAGCAACATAAGACTTGTTATTTCAATTGCAAAAAATTATCTGGGAGCTGGGATGAATCTTCAGGATCTGGTTCAGGTCTGTACTCAAAAAAAATTTTTTTTTTTCAGCTGAAATGATATGACTTCATCTTAAAAGCGAGCAAGTAAAAAGTTAAAAAGAGAAGAGAGGTAAAAATATTATAGCATCTATGCCAGTGGTATCTTAATCTTGATACTGAACTTGCAGGAAGGATGTCGAGGACTTGTAAGAGGTGCTGAGAAGTTTGATGCTTCTAAGGGCTTCAAGTTCTCAACCTATGCCCACTGGTGGATTAAACAAGCAGTTCGAAAGTCTCTTTCTGATCAATCAAGGACAATTCGCTTGCCAGTAAGATATACTTCAGTTCCTGGGCTTACTAGCTTAAGTGCATTGACTTTTGGAATTATCATTGCTAAATTGAACACTTCCATTTGCATCATTTTTGGTTTACAGTTTCACATGGTGGAGGCAACATATAGAGTGAAGGAGGCTAGAAAGCAATTATATAGTGAAAATGGAAGACAGCCAGATAACGAAGAAGTAGCAGAAGCGACAGGTCTCTCAATGAAAAGGCTAACTGCTGTTCTACTTACTCCTAAAGCTCCAAGATCGCTTGATCAGAAGATTGGAATCAACCAAAATCTGAAACCCTCGGTCTGTCCTACCCCATAGATATTTCATGTAGCAATCTTTTCCCAAAATGTTTTTTCTATATTCATTATCGCACATTGATTTTTTATTACCTTGCCTGATGAGATCATTTATGTTGTTTACAGGAAATAATAGCAGATCCTGATGCAGAAACTTTAGAAGATATCCTGCTCAAGCAGTTCATGAAACAGGACCTGGAGAAGGTTTTGGACGGTCTAAGTTTAAGGGAGAAGCAGGTTATCAGATCGAGGTTTGGAATGGAGGATGGAAGGATAAAAACTTTGCAAGAAATAGGAGAGTTGATGGGAGTGAGCAGGGAAAGGATCAGACAGATTGAATCATCTGCATTCCGTAAGTTAAAGAACAAAAAGAGAACGAAACATCTGCAGCAATATTTGTTATCACAAGCCTGATCAATCCAGGATTTAGATTGCCGGAAAACCTACTAGCATGGTGGAGGCTCAAAACATCTATCTGGCAATGTTATTCTTTTTGTCATCAGCCAGCACTAAAACTGCTATATCCTTCTGTTTCAGGAGTATCCTACAAATGGTCGTTTATAGAAACAATTTTTCTAAAGCATTTTCCCATTTTTCAGATGTACCAAAGCAAGGACAATATTCAAAACAATAACAAAAGAATTTTCTTTCTACTCCATTCAGGCATGCTTTATTTAAATGCTGGAAGTAAGCTTACAATTTGGGACCTGGAAAATCAGGAAATGAGTGGAGAAAATGGTGAAAATTACTCAGGGAAAGCATAGCAACAAAGATTGCTGCCTGGGGTTTTCTTTTGGGCATATTTGGTTGGAGGTTAACTCTATTGGGAAAATAGTAGGAAAAGTATTGTATTTAAAGTTAAAAAATACTGTTAATAAGTTTTGTTATGGAATTTTGTTAAAATTTTGATAGAATTTTATTGGATTGTTAACTTTTTTTTGCTTGAGAAGAAATTAATATAGAGAAAATTAATAGGAATGTTGTTAAGTGGGTCTAGGTAAAAAAAAGATATTGGCATAGATAAAGTTGGCAAAAAAAGTAATTAAGTGGGTCTTACTTTAAAAAAAAAAAAAGTTAAAAGGAAAATTTTTTTCTTTAAAAAAGTGTGAAAATTGAAGTTTATTATTTGAAAATTGTATTAGGAAAAATAAAAATAAAAAGTTAATTTTACCCTTTTTTATTGTTTTATTTGTGAAAATTGAATATATAAACTTCAATACAAAACTTGTATTGAACTTAAAATTAATTAATAATAAATGATGTATTTCTCTTTGTATTTAAGTCACATATATTTTTTATTAGATTTCAACGTGGGATTGTACCATTTGCTGTAATAATATTAAGATATGCAATTATGTAAATAAAATGGAAAAATTTGGGAAAAATTGTCCACATTGGAAATGAGGGGCGTATGGGACTATGGGGAATCATCGCCACACTAAATTAAATGTTTTCATTTGGAATTTAAATTGGTGGAGGTAGGTTCTTATGAATTAGATATTTATTGCCAAAAAAGAAAATAAATAGTTAGACTGCCATGTAAAAATAATTTTATAAAACCACTGCTTTACAAATTTAATAGGAAAGATGAACAAAAGTAGAGAAAAAGCACATCAAAGACTAATAAGACGCTCTTTAATCCAATAAAAGGACCTTAATTCAATCAACTCTGACCTTTGCTTGACGACTAATTTTAAACGTTTCTAATTATAAAGTAGTACCAAGGAGTTATAGCTTCATTAGTAAAGAAATTTGCTCCCATCTTGTTGACCAAGGTTTGATTTTTTAGCAAGATTATGGAGAGGTAATCCTCATAAATTCCCTAATTCTAGTGTATGTCATGCCTTTAACTAGACTGAGAAAAATAAGTCTCAAACTATGCATAAGCTAACTTGAAGATATATTGACCGTTAAACCTAGGAAAAAAAAAAAAATTATGATAACTAAAGTTGAATTGAGTGAGTATATAATTATATATGTATATATTTTATTGCAAGGTATTGTGAGTAAATTATTATGTGATACAAAAAAACACTATGCAGTTCAACGCAGAATGTTAACTATTATTGAGGGCCCTTGGATGTGGGGTCATCCTCCCCTAAACAATGGTCACTTTTTTGCGGTTTAGCATGTAGTGAACTTAGGGATGCCAATTTGCTTTGATCTTTGTGGAGCTTTGTGAGGATTCCTTCCACGTGAATGGGACGAGGACGGAAGGCATTTTTTTTTTTTGTGAAATTTCATGAGAAATTTTCTCTGCCTTGTAAGGATCATCATTCCCATAAAAAATTAAAAAATATGTAAATTAATTTTATTTTAAATTTAATTCAACCTTCAAATCCAAACTCAATCCAATAAAAATTAAACTCAATCCAATACCCAACCCAATTCAATCCATAAAAATTAACCCAACCCATCATCAATAAGTTTGTTGATTTAACCGTTTATGTTGAATTGATCTTATTTATGTTTGAACAATTTATATTTGCTTTACATTTAAAGAATTTTAGTTAATTGTACTTGAATTTTTAGAAATTTATTCATTATAATTAAATATTAATTAATTATATGTAAAACATTTATATTTTGATATTAATTGGTAGAAAATAGGGGAATCCTTGTTCCCCGCAAAGAACAAGGATGGGGGGGTAAATTTTGCTCCTATAAAAAATCCCCATTGGGACAAGGATGAAGAGGGACTCCTCGACCCCACGGGAACCCCTTGACATCCCTAAGTGAACTTTATGTAGGGCAAGTCATCTACATTACAACTAAATAATTCATGAGACATTACTTTTGTTGTCTCCATAATCTCTCCTTTGAGTTACAAGTGTGGTTAAAAAGACCGTGTAAGTGTCACTTACTTTACTCAAACTAAGAAGGAATGTTTCTCTAAGACCCTCAATCCTTTTGGGACCTATTTGCAAGTTTGTGTAAGAGAGCTGCTTAAATAGTAAGTTGCACCATAGCTAGAAGATTGTTAGAAAAAGATGAACGCATTCTTGCATAAATGTTTAAAAATCATTGTTTTGAAACTTCATGAGACAAAGAGGTGAGGTGGGGAAATGAGGTTTCAAATCCTAACTATATGGTTGAGAAAGTACCATTTTACTAATTGTTGGTCTAATTACGCTACATGTATTTTTTCACAAGTTTTAATTTAAAATATAGTAAGTACAATGAAATAAATAGTGTCTAATTAAAAGAAAACACACAATAAAATTTTTTTTCTCTCTCTTTTTCTCTTTGGGTTTCAAGATTGTTCGTGTACATTTAAACTAATCATTTTAAAATAATTTTAAGATTATATCCTTACATTAACTTAATATATTTAAAAATATTAATTTCTTTAAGTATTAATTTGAGATTATTTGGGCAGATGGGACCTAGTTTTTTAGAACTAAACTATAAAGCTAAAAACTTCAAAGATTTGACTGTGAATTTGAGGTATAAAACAACACTTTTTCTTATCAAATTGTTGCAACCTATGTTTTTCAGAACTAAACTATTGAGCTAAAACTTTTGGCCGAAATTGGCGGCAAAGACGAGGCGGAAAATGATAAAATTTTTTGAGAAGATTTGAGGCGGGTTCGGGTCAAGTCAAGTCGGGTCCGGTCAATACTCGCTCCATAAAATGCGTTTCTTGTTTCTAAGACACGCACAAGCTCCAGCTCCAGACAGAGAGCCAGGGACTTTGTGCATTTCTACACTGTTTCCTTCAGTCCTCGTTGGAGAGAAGCAAGGTCGCTCCGTTCTCTGCAATTTTTCCCTTTTTAATTTGCGAATACTTGAGTCCCTAGGAAAAGGTTTGCTTCGATTTTTTTTTCATTTTTTGGGGTTTCTCTTGTAATTGCTTTTTTCGTAGTTGAGGAAAAAGAATGAAGGGGGGAGGAAGGAAGAAGGTTCAGAACGAAGAAGTGGAAGAAGAGGGTGAGAAGGAGGTGAACAAGAAAGGGGTTGGTGCTGAGAATGGCGATGGGTTGATTGATGGCAAAGAAAGTGGAGCAAATGGGGAGAAGGGGAAGGAGCAGGAGGAGGAGGAGGGGGGAAATGGAGAGGGAGGTGAGGAAGAAGAGGGAGAGGAGGAAGAGGGGGAAGGAGAGGAGGAAGGGGAGGGAAAGGGTGAGGAAGAGGGACAAGAAGAGCGGCCCAAGCTCGATGAGGGGTTCTTCGAAATTGAAGCTATTCGTCGTAAAAGGATACGAAAGGTTGATTTTTTTTTTATCCCTTTCTGTTTTCTGATGAAATTATTATTTCCTGCTTTTTCTTAAGATTTTTCTGTATAACGAAGCATAGATTAAAGGATGGATGTAAGACAAAGAAACTGATATATGGGCTAATTTTGGATATGTTCTGTTCAAACTTCAGGCCATTTATGTGTTTTATCTTTTGGAGTTCGTTTAATTCTTTACCTGATTCTAAGGGGCTTGATTCTAGAAATATGTTGAACAAATGGAAGAAAAAGATTATGAAGTTAGAATGCTATAATTTGTGTATTTTGCTCTCTTCTCTTTTTTTTTTTCGTTGCTGATTTTATCTAATTATAAGAAGTTTGTGCATTGTTTTGGTTATGCTGCCGCCTTATCACTGGAATATTGCACACAATAGGGTCAGCTCCAGTATCTCATCAAATGGTGATTACCCTCCTCCTTTCATTCCTTTGTTAAAAGGAAAAAATGTGTGCATTATTTTTCTTTCTGGTTTGGTATTAGTTATTAGTTATGTCATAAACTGGTAGGGACATTATTTAGTGCAATTATCCTTATTATTGAATATGCTTTATTGAAGGCGTGGATGGTCTGAAACAGCAAATACATGGGAGCCATTAGAGAATCTCCAGTCTTGTTCCGATGTCATTGATGCATTTGAGGAGAGGTAAGATTCATTTCTATGCTGCTCTTTTGCTTCCCTTGCTCTTATGTGTTGCTAACCAAATGAACCAAAGCAAAGCATTCTTATCCATTTGTTGTTCTATATCATGCAGACTATCACCTTATGAAGTTGTTTTATTCTAATTATAATTTGGATGGGTAAATTTGTGGTATAAAACTGCAATTATTGCTGCCTTTAACCCTTATATTTCTTAGCAAAACAGGGTGGTAAAATTGTTATGGGAATATTTACAATTTATCTTTGTCATTTGAACAATACTTATTTACTCTTTGGTTTGAAGCCTGCGTTCAGGAAAGCATACTCGAAAGCGCAAACGCAAGTATGGAGGTCCCCATGTACAGTCCAAGAAGAAGCAGCCACGGTACTCTGCTGGTGGTGGCATTGAAGTCAGTGTTGGTGCCATTGAAGTCAGTGTTGGTGACATTGAAGTCAGTGTTGGTGACAAGTCTTTAGCTTTGGTCCCTTTTGATGATTCAAGTTTGGGTGATATCCCTCCCTTGAATCAACTTACCACAGCAGGTCACAAGGGAAAGAACAATGGAAACTTCAACATTGTTGAAATTGCCAGCCGAGCTAATGAAAATGGATCTGCCAATGGTTTAAAACCAATTGATGAAAAGAAGGAACAAAATGAGTATGATACTAAGCTTAGTGAGCTAAAAGGAGCAGTGTTTTCCAATGGGGTCAATGCAGATAAGCTGGGATTAAAATTCCAGCAAGGTAAGGCTTCTGAAGGTGATGGCCTTGTAAATGGGCTCCCAAAGGTTGATCATCAGGAAACAGTTCAAAGTAATCGTCAGACTGGGGCCAAAAGAAGGAAGTCTGGTTCTGTGAAGAGATTTAAACAAGATCCAGCTCTTTCTGAACCAAATTTGACACAAAATCCAACGCCAAATGTTACTGTCGGTTATGGTGTTACAGATGCGTGGATAGGGATCGAAAATCCTATTTTAACCGGAGAAGATTCAAGCTACAAGCTGAAGGCTGATCATTCGGTAAATGCATGTGCTATAACTGAAATCCTCAAGCCGATAGGATTTTCGTCTTCAGTATCAGCAAATAGTCAAGATGTGTTGGTAACATTCGTCGCAATGAGGTTTGTTGCAAGTTCCTGTTCTCATCTATTGTTTTTGAAATAGTAATGATTTTGATATGATAATTAGTAGGTCCTGAATTATGTTTTGACTGCCACTTTGCTCTGCATTCTCCTTATTTCATTTTGACATCCAGTAGGTCCTCATTTATATTGGTGATAAAGGAAAATCAAAATTATTCAAATTAGTGAGGAATTAGCTCAACCATTCATAGATTGTGGAATGTAAATGGGACTGTAAATTTTTAGTATGTATATATATAGAGGTTAGAATACAGCAGGTTGTTTTATTTATTTATTTATTTTTTAGGAGGACCAACCAAAAAACTATATATATAGAGTAGGGATGCATTACACACAAGTCTTCTACGTCAAACTTACACAAAATCTCAACTATTAAAAGTGAAGAGATGAATGGTTGAGATTTATTCACATTTATTAAAGATAATTATTGTTTTTATTTAGAAAGTCGTGTTAAATCTCAACCATTGAAAGTGGAGAGATGAATGGTTGAGATTTTGTGTAAGCATAATGTGTAAGACTAGTGTGTGAATGGATTCCTCCTCATATATATATATATATATATGAGATTAGTATTTATAAGTCGAATTTGTAAAAATTTAGATAGAAAAATACTTCAAAACTATATTATTTTAATAAAGTATCATGAGAAAAAACCAAAACAATATCATTCTTGCTTTGAAAAGTAGGTTATTTTAGTCTTGTTCGATGAGAATTTATTAAAACGATGTAGTTTTGAAGTGTTTCTCAACTTAAATTTTTGCAGGTCTGGTTGATAGACATTTTTTTGTATATATAAATATATATTTATATATATAAGGTTAGTGTAGTGTAGATCGGCCTCCCAAATTGTTGTTCAATTAATATTTTCTAAAATCATTGGATTAAATATTCTATTCATGTAGATCTAATTTTCAAATTGATCTAACATTTATAATGCTTTGATTGAAGGAACTTTATTTATTGACATATATTTAATTGTGTTAAATTTTCTGTAACCAACGAACTGGTTAAGGCCGTTAGGCTTACTAGATAAATCCCAAAATTAACATGCAAGATCTACATGAATAGAATCTTTAATCGGACGGTTGCTTTTCAAAAACATTAATTAAAATATGATATTTTAAGAATGTAGGACATCCTGAAAAGCAATATTCCCTATTTATGTACACACACACACATGTAGTCCCGACTATATAGTGTGGACTGCATAATATAAAGCATAGGATGGGAGTGGGCCACTTGATATTGGGGGCTGCACCCTTTATCAAATGGTTCCTGTTTTATATATATGTGTGTGTGAGAAATGCTGGATGAGGTAGCAGTTATATTTGTTAGCAGCTATCAAAAGAGAAATTTGCATGTAGTGATATAATATTCTACAGTGGCAATGAAGGTATAGTTAAGATGAAAAGGGTTTCTTTGGTTATTATTTTAGGTGAATCTGAAAATCTCAATTCTTAGCTGTATACTCTCTCCTGTTCTTTGCAAGTTCAAGTGCAGTGAACTGGATTTGCTCCTTTCCTGGCTTTTATCTGATTTATTTGTCTTGCCATTATGAGCTATTCTTTTGTAGCATTTACTAGTAATCTGGCAATGCCACAATGTAATCAATTAATGGAGGAACTTTAAAAGAGCAAAAAACAAAGTTCGAATTTGTATTGATCTGGAATTTTATCTACTCTAGAGTGTTTTACATATATTATGTCAAGGTAAAAGCACAGTGTAAAAAGGAAAAGACAAACAGAAAATTCTGTTTATTTGGGAAGACCCCATAAATTGCTAACTATCAAGATCCATGTATTTCAACTCGAAATTTAACATGGATCATATCATTAAAGGAAACCAATGATATTGCCAGATAGTTATGTTATATAAAACATCTTTTTGATAATATGCTTTTTGTGTTTTTCAAATTGTAAAATTTGTAACAGTGAGTTAGTGTGACTAATAATATTGCTGCAGGATTTTATTTGTGGTAAGTTAATGAATTCCTTTGTAGTTGTAGTTTACAGTTTATGTACACTAGAAGCCTTTTTTTTTTTTTTACCGGTTGATAATCAGTTGTGTCATTTGCTAATGAACAGGTCAGATGGAGAAGAAGTTATAGTGGACAACAAATTCCTTAAGGATAACAATCCACTTCTGGTAATTGATCTTTTCTTCTGCCAATGATGTTTTTCCTAATAATATTAACAGTGGACTTAAGAAATGATCAAATATGAAACTAATTTTCTAATGTCTACATTCTTCTTGTTTCTTTTCTTCAAATACCAGTTGATCGACTTCTATGAGCAACATCTCAAGTATAGTCCTACACCTTGACTGGACCAATCTTCAGCAGGACTTTTGTGATACAATTCTGTAGTTGTAGAGTAAAGCAACAAGAAGTTGAGTACTAGTTTAACAGTGCCAGGCTGAGTGATTTAGTGGTAGTTCTCTCACTCACTCACTCTCTCTCTCTCTCTGTGATTTTTAGACATTTATTCATTACATTAGTGTGTGTTACCTGAATTTTTAACATGGTTCTAAGTATATACTGTTCATAACTTCATATTGAAACTGTTCATATATAAATGATGAAGCTCATGCAAGTCCATCTCTGCTTTGTCTGGACAGGGTGTGTTTGGGATTGCTTTCATAGCGTTATTTGTTTTTTGACACAGCCATGCACTACAAAAAATATTAATTTGTTATGCTTAAAACTAATTTCAATTAAACGTTCTGTATATTTTAGGAAGTATAAGATAGCAACATTCTGAAAAATAATTTATCAAACATTAATATTAGTAGCATAACATACTAATCATTCTCACAGGCTCACAGCACTACATGGCAATCCCGAGGGTCTTTGTTGTGCTTGCTTCTTGACATGCATCTTGTGGTTGCACAAATGATGTGAAGGTCGCTATATGTCATGTTGGTTAAAGTTGTGCATTGGCATAGAATTTTGGACTCCAAACCTTGATTCCATATTCAGGATTTAAAATCAATAGGTACCAATGAGGATAAACGTTAGTTGCCGGTATATTTCTAGATTTTTATTTTTATTTTTTGGTAGTATGCCTATATATTCTTTTGTTGAATTGGTAATGTCTATGGATGAATGACACCCTTTTCTCATTTGTGTCCTGTCCTGTCTTCTAGGTTTCAGTTTGGTTCCGAGTTGGGGTAAAAAAAGGGGAAGGGGAAGGGGAAGGGGAGTAGAAGAATTTGTGGCCGTTAGTACACCTTTTTAGAGTCTTGAGGAATTAAAATGTCATGCATATTATGTTTTTCCTTTTACTTGCATTGTTCTTCTAAATTGCATTAGATGGAGTTTTAAATTTTCATACTGAGAGTTGAGGTATCATGTCATTGTATACATAGTTGGCAGGAGCAACCAACCTCACATCAATGGTGAAAAAAATTTCCCAACATAGGCCTAGGAAGCTTTTCATCAAGCTCAAGTTGTTAGCTGTTTAATGCTTTATTCTTATGTATGATTTAGTGTATGATAAGATTTCTGCCAAAAGTTATCTAAAGTTTTCTCCTATTTATTATTCAAATATTTGTCTATTTCAGGATTTAAAATTTAAAAAGTCTAATCAGGAAATCTTAAATTATAACCCACGACATTCCTGTTAACAATATTTTCAACTTGGTACTTTGGTATTCTAGAACAAAGTTCTTTTAAATAATGCTGATTTTTTAGACGTGGTGAGTTGTAAGGGTAAACACAAGGCAAAACCCCTCGTTAACCTCTTGAATTTTTTCCATATTCTCAATTGATTCTTTGAACTATTTCTTACGCACGTAAACCCTTAAACCTCACAATTGGTGCAATATTGCCCTCCTCCTAATGGTCAACATCAGGTGCAACCTCGTGACTCTAACTTCTGTCTATTCCTTGCTGGTGTGGCATTTGCTTTACATGTCATTGACAACGTCGCAAGGCAACTCTCTTTAGTAGGAAATTTGGCTCCCAAGTTGTCTACCTGGATGCAC